ATACAACCACCTCATAGACTGGTTCTGATGAGCAGCATCGCGACCACCCCTGGCCTAGGATACCAAATATATATGTTCCTAAGTGGCAGTTTCTCCTCTTTTAAAGGATGAGGAGGATGGAGGGTTTTTTTAATCCACAAAGAAACCTCCAAGGACATTGTCCCATGGTGTGATCCCCAAAGAGGAGTTTCTGGTTAAACTGTCTACTTTGAGAGCAACTCTGGCATTTGGAGTGTGGGCTGGACTGAGCCCAGGCTACCATGCCTGGGGTGTGCCCTTGATAATCCAACTACCAAGTGGGACTGTGCTCCCCAAGGGGGCATCGTCCCCCATGCAGCTGCTTTGTGAGTGGCTTAGTGTTGCATTCTGGAAAGGTTGGTTTGCTTTCAAAACCACCTTTTTTCTAGTTGAACCACCTTCTCAGGAATATTCCAGTCGTGGTGAATATTTGTCATTTGAGGGTGTGTTTTGTCATTTGAGGAGGTGGGGATAGGGTAATAAGGGTAAAGGATGCTCGTGTGGCATCCTAGCCAGCCTGGGACCAGTACAATGACAGAGCGATTGGCAAATGGTTGGCTTTTAGCAATGGAGGGTGCCCTTCGGCACTGTGTTTCCAGCCCTTGCTTCAGAGCTGAGGAAGCCATGGACCAACCCTCCCCAAGCAAGGGCTACCATTAATGAGCCCCTCCTTTCTCCACCCTGCAGCTACTGTGTTTCCCTCGGAGGCGCTCCTAGAGTCAACTGCAGCAGAAGGTAACATCTACTATGAGGGATCCCTGTGGGCTCATTACCACTCTGCACCCCTAGGTTCATCTCTGATTCAGATAAGGTGCAGAAGGCCTAGAAAGTAGGGTGCTTAGCTCCCAAGAGGGGCCCTTCCACATAAGGCCTTAGGTCTGAACAGGTATCTCTTGCATCGATCGTGTCTGAGACTGAGGAGGAATCAACTTGAAGATACATCTCCAAGGAGTTCTCAGTGGACTCTTGTTTCTAGAGTTTCTGTTATCCTTTCTTGTTGCTCGCTCCTGTGTTCCTCACCCAGCTGTGCTCATCTCTGGCCAGCCTATGGTGCTGGATCTCTGGCTACAGGGCCTTGAGAGGCAGGTGCCTACCTGCTAAACGTAGCCAAATTGCTAGGACAGCATCCTTGCCCTTGCCCTTTCTTTAAGCCCATGTTAGGCCACCCTTGTTTCTTCTTAACAGAGAGAAATCACAATCCTTCAACTCATGGGCATCAGAGGTCATGTACTTCCCCCTTGGGTACCTCCAGTGAGAAATCTGGGAGACATAGTCAATACAGCCTGGGATTCTGGCAGTCTGGGCTTTGGGAAGGGAAGTCACTTCCCATTTCCCATGGGAAACCTTGGCCCTAGGAGAAGCTCAAGGACAACATTCTCACCAAAGCCTCTGCCCTGCCCAGGGTTGGCATGCAGCAGTTGGGAATGCTGATGGTACACGCATCAGGCCCTCCCATTCCTCAGGTCATCTCTTTCCTCTCCCTCTGGCCCATGGGGTGAGGCCTGACTTAACCTCTTTCTCTTTCCTATGATTAAGGACACAGAAGACACTAGAAATGAGGGTGAGACTGGCTTTATTCTGACTTAGCCATGTCCCTTACCAAGATTCCCACATTTTCTTATTTGCAGCAGCTATAAGAGGAGAATCTGTTCCTTCCTCTGGAGTGGTTTCCCCTGAGGACCCTGTTACATGTTAAGAACCACATCTTGGCCTGACAAGCCCTTTGGTATAACTGGTCCAGCCAAGGATGGGAGCAAGAGGGTGGAGGGATTTGGCTGATCTGCCTGTCACACAGGATTGCAGATAGGACTTACTCGGAGTTGCTCTTATCAGGAACTCCAGTGTCAGGTGGGAGTCACATTTCTTCTAGATATAGAGACCTCATGTGGAAGCCCAGTGGAGAGCTCAGACAGAAGCTGAGTGCTGTGGCTGCAGTGGGTTAAGGGTAACTCTCAGGTCACTTCCTCTCCAAGCCCCAGTTCTTGTAGGTCAGTTCTTGTAGGTGCCCTGGACAAATTCCAGGGCTCCGGAGCAATTCAAAAACAGAGATTCCAAGCCAGTATCTTACTTAAAGGGGAATATTAGAAGCATTTCCACTAGTGTGAAAAACAAGGCAAGTATGCCCTCCATCCCCACTGCTGTTCAATGTCATACTGGAGGTAGTAGCCAATGCAATTAGAGTAGAGAAATCAATTAGAGGCATAATAATGAGAAAAGTTATTTTTGCATCCCTCTCCTGGAGTTCTGTATAGGTTACATGTAGACATATCAGAATCAGAGTGAGTATGTTGGTACAGAAATATTTCCTCCACAAGCAGCCCTTTAGAATTGAAGAACTCAGTGCCAGACAGGTTTCTTGACTTTCCCAAAGTTACACAGCAAGACAATATCCAGATCAGGAGTGATGGCTTCTCAGCAGATCCTAGTTTACTTTCAGCCCGTGAGTGTCCTCAGAGGAGATCTAATCTTATATATATATATATATATTTTTTTTGATTTTGTTTTTCATCTTCTACAATTGGCAAATGCAGAGACTACCACCACAAATACCGGGTCTACTGTTGTGACAGATAATCAGTAATTTTGAGTCTGTTTCTGTTATGTCATGATGCCAACTATATCCATGGGCTTTACTGTTATTCAGGAAAAGTTTTAGGGAATGGGATGGGAGGGAATGTTGTGAGTACACAGTGACCTGGATCCCAGAGGTCAGCTAGAGTGAAGCTTCCTTCATTGCCCATGCTCCTGGGAGTAGGGAGAAATCAGTCAGAATGTGGCATCTCCAAGAGCCTGTGTGCTTTGGAAGCAGAGACCAGTGGGATCAGTCTCCAGTTCAGAGTGACAACCCAGCTCCCCCATCTCCACAGCTCTGTGCTGACCCCAGCCATCCTGGCCCTGAGGAAGGCTATAAGGCCAGGAAGATCACATGCAAAATGTGCTCCAAGCCAACCTTAGAGCTACAGATACACATCAGAGCTCCTTCCAGGACATCCTGATGTCATCACGCTGCTCTTCAGTGTGGGATGTTATGTGTCCCCTGTCTGAGTGAATCAGGCAGAGCCCATGGTCTGCTTAGAGAAGGGTCTTGTGTATCTCTAGGCCCCTTCCAGGATGCAGATTAGGTGGAGTCTTTTATTCTCCTCCAGCAGAAGCTCTAAGACTTGGGTTTGGGCCAAGCAGTCACTGTCCTCTTCCCCATGAAGAACTCTAACCTTAAGGCATGTTAGAGCCCAGCCTAGTTAGAGATTCTCTCAAAGATATTTGCCTATGGGAAAGACCCTGAATGCCCTGCAGGCCCTGAGACCTTGTCTCTCAGTAGGAGTGTACAAGAGAAATTCTGTGCCTTCCTCTAGGATCTGATTATGATTTGGCCCTGAGACTGGTGAATGGAGATGGCAGGTGTCAGGGTCGGGTGGAGGTCCTGTATCAAGGCTCCTGGGGCATAGTGTGTGATGATAGCTGGGACACCAATGATGCCAACGTGGTCTGCAGGCAGCTGGGTTGTGGCTGGGCCATGTCAGCTCCAGGAAATGCCCGGTTTGGCCAGGGCTCAGGACCCATTGTCCTGGATGACGTGCGCTGCTCAGGGTACGAGTCCTACCTGTGGAACTGCCCCCACAATGGCTGGCTCTCCCATAACTGTGGCCATAGTGAAGATGCTGGTGTTATCTGCTCAGGTAGGCATCAAAGATCTCTGGAGGGTCAGGTGTGGTGACTCACAACTGTAATCCCAGCACTTTGGGAGGATGAGGCAGGCAGATTGCTTGAGCTCAGGTGTTCAAGACCAGTTCTGGGCAAGATGGCAAACCCCGTCTCTATTAAAAAAAGAAAATCACTTGGGCCCATTCTGGGGACAGACTGTATTCAGAGAATATAGTGACAAACAGGTTTCTCACTCCAGGGCCCCCGCCCAAGACTTTCCTGGTTATCTGGTGGCTCTGGAGTTTAGTTGGGGCAACTGGCCTGTGGGTACAATGCCATGGTCAGCACGGATCCCCAAGCTGCAAGCAGTGCCCCAACATTGGTTTGGGGGTGACTGAGGCACCGGTGTTCAGACACAGGGTCCAGCATGCTGACATCAGAAATAACGAGCTTTTTATTCTGCTGTAGGAACGTCCGCATAACTCATAGCCCTGTTTTCCCCGATGCTCCTTCTCAGGGATGGCATGTTTCAGGGACCTGGTTGGTGAAACCTCCCCTCCCCTTGAACACCGTATTACCTTGAGTGCTGTCAGCCACTGACCCAGAGGGAAGGATGCATTTGTAAATAGTTCACTTATGATTGCTGTGAAGAGAGGCAGGGAAGTGGGGTAAGGGTGGGAGGATGTCAGTGAGTCACAAATGGTGGGCTCACATGCAAGCTCAGCGTGGGGAGCAGGGGGACCTCCCAGAGGATCACCAAGAATCCACGTCAAACCTCAGAGTCATTGCCGCTCAAGGGTGGAGAGTTAGGGTCTTCATCCACTCATTGCTTAGGGTGGCTGTTTGCTGCTCCCTGGGTGTTGATACTGAGGTTGTTGTGGCCAGTCCCAGGCACCGAAGTGACCTTCATATCCCTGGAGAGTGAGCCGCAGGCACAGAGACGGAGGCAATGCCGGGGGCTGTGGGTTCCCTGAGGGACTGAGGGCTTCACGGTGGGCACTGGCAGGGCCCACTTGGTGGACATGTGATGGGCATCAGCTGAGGGTGTGGCTACCCCAAGTCACTTCAACCTTAACTCTAGTTGGAGTCACTGAGTGTTTGGTGTCTAATGTTGCTATTTTTTCTCATAGCTGCCCAGCCTCAGTCGACGCTCAGGCCAGATGAGTCCCCAGAATCCTTCCTTGGGATACCCCTTCTCTTTCTGCTTGGTTACCCCTTCCCCAATCCACAGAGCCTTCCTGCTTCTCTGCAGATACTCTCGGGCATGTTATTTTCACCCCAGCTCTATAACTGAGACCCTAGCATGGTGCTTCTTAAGCACACGTAGGATTCAGCTTCTGCCTTCTCTTCAATCCATCTCAGCTTTCATCATACAGTTCCATGCTGTCCCAATGGAAAACCCTTACAGGTTCAGAAAGAAGCCACCTGTTTAATGAGCTTTGGCCCCTTTATGTTCTGGGCTGACATAACCTTTCTGAGAATTGAGGGTGAGACCCTCTAATGTTCTGTTGAAGGCAAGGTCAGTATAGGCCTGATACCTGCATCTCTCACTACTTGAAAGACCCTTGAAAGACCCCCAAATTCTGCAGGGCCATGTCTGCATTCAGAAGAGGCAGAGGCCATGCTCAGGTGAGAGAGAGGCTAAGAAATGTTTCTGGTGCCTTCACTTACCAGGAAACCTGATATCCCCCGGGTGGGCCCGCTAGTCCCCCGAATATCTTAGCTGCAAGTGTCAAGACTTGGCAGTGGTGTCAGATGAGTCAGACAGTCCATGTGTCAGTGGATGGTGGGAGATTGAGGTGGCGAAGGTTTCCTAATTGAGAAGAGGTCATCCCTGTCTCAGAGAGAGATGGAAGGGCCTGCATGGTGTCCTTTGTCCCTGAATGAGTTCTGTGGGCAGGAGACCTGGGCAGACACATGGGGAGCAAGTGGCTGGACCTGGGAGTGGAATTGTTTTCACAACCGGGTCCTAGGAAATGCCCGGTTTGGCCAGGGCTCAGGACCCATTGTCCTGGATGACGTGTGCTGCCTGGTCCAGAGAACTGCTTGCTTTTTACCTTTTTCCCTTCAAATCCAATTGTATCCTTTCTCTTTGTTGCTGTTTACAGACAGTTGGCCTGTCAGGATATTACCTGTACTCAAAGAAGGTAAAGAATCCTCTCAACACTCCCTGGGGCTCACTTTCTACCTCTGCATACACTTCGGAGTTCATAGTTCACTTATGATTGCCATGAAGAGAGGTGGGGAAGTAGGCTAAGGGTGGGAGGATGGCAGCAGGTGATAAACAGTTGGCTCAACAGTGAGCTGGGCACTAGGAACAGGAGTAGGACCTCCCAGAAGATCATTAGGAATCATTAGGCTCACGATAGGATGAGGCTCAAGGTGGGCCCTTGCTTCTTCATGTTTCTGTGGGTTGGGTAGGGAGGAAGCTGGAATCTCTGAAGACCCAGAACTAGATGTGATGTTGGAGAGTGGAGGGTGCTGGCGACCTGTCTCCTGTGGGATCCTGTTCCAAGTGGTCAGGAAAGATCCTCATCTGTGTGCTCAGGACAAGCCTTGGGGGTCTCCCTAATCCTACGGGGACCTCATCCCTGCCATCTCTGGTACTTTCCCAGTCAGCCAGACAGGACCATGCTCCTGAATAAGGGAGGGGTCTGGGCCTGCCATCTGCAGCTGAGAAGCTCCATCCTCTGTGTACCCAACTAGATAGTGGGATATCCAGTCCTATCACCTCCACTGGGGTCACAGGTGCTTCCCCAGAAGTTGAGCATCCATAGACCTGGGCAGAGTAGGCTGTCAGTGCTACTTTCACTATAATTAAGCCTAATCTCTGGCTTCATTATGCAAAGGTGACTGCCTGCCTGGGTGACTTAGTTCATTAGGAAATGCCCTGAGTGTGGAACTTGCCCTAGATTGTTAGGGGTCTAGGCCTGCCATTTGTAGCTGTGTAGCTCCATCCTGTCTGCCCCCAGAGTGGGGAGTGGGGTGTCCATTCCTGGCCCCTCCTCTGGGATGTCATACATGCTTACCCATAACTTGAGCTTTTATAGACTTGAGTAGAATAGGGCATCACTTTTTCCACTATGACAAAGCTTAACCTCTGGGTATGGTAATCTTCAGTCGTGACTGCGTGTCCTGGTGACGTTGGCATTTGTATTCAAACTTGACTACTTTGCCTACTGCTCTGAGTGTTGTACATGCCTTATCCTTGACCTCATCATAGAGATGGATGAAGGGTTCTTGTGTTCCCCTGTAGGATCTGAATCCAGTTTGGCCCTGAGGCTGGTGAATGGAGGTAACAGGTGTCAGGGCCGAGTGGAGGTCCTATACCGAGGCTCCTGGGGCACCGTGTGTGATGACT